CATCACTGACCCAGCCAACTCTGGCTCTCAGCTGCCACTCGTAGAAGAAGAAGAGTTTTCCTTTGCGGTTGTTGATGGAAGCTTCTCCATCCAGCTTGCTGATGTCGGTCACCTGACAGACTCCCTCTGGTCCCTCCACACGAACACTGAGGAGCAGCTGACGGAGGTGTTCTGAGGACCAGCTGGACACATCGCGCTCCGTCCTGAAGGGGGGACGGTGAGGTTAATGTGTGAGTCACTTAGCTGTATTCCCTTCTCCACCAGCTGTTCCTGAACAGTGTAGCCCCACCCACCTGTGACATCACAGACTTTAAAAATATCTGTACATGTGCTGAACCAGCTGCCGTGTCACATAACACACACACACACACACGCACGAACACACACTAGAATAACTTGTCCCAAAATATCACACACAGATCATCCAGAATGATCTGGAGGATCCTTCTTCTTCTTCTTCTTCTTCTTCTTCTTTTGTCAGACATCAGCAGGGTTTGACCAATCAGACAATTAATAATACAAATAATAAACTTCAGGGAGTTTGGACACTGCAGATACCATGAAAACAAGTCCAGCAACAGCTACCTGCAGACCTGTGAAAAGTTCAACCCCCCACACGTCAGATTATTGAGGATGTTAGTTTAGTCCAGTGATTTCACCATGAAAGAATTCAGACACACACATGTTCAGAGGGGATACAGTAAACAGAAGTTTCAAAAAACCTGTTCTGATAAAAATCATTGTGTTGCATGATCTACAGGCAATTGCAGTCCGTCTCTCATATCTGAAATCGGGTCAGAGGCAATATAAGTGTGCTATAATTATCATTAACAACAACAACAACAATAATTATACTAAAAAGAATAACAATAAACAGACCAGTGCCAGTTGTTGACGTTGGTGGCATCAGCTCTCTCCTCTACAATCCATCGAGGATCCCCTTCACCCCATTTAGCCATTGCTGGTTACTGATTTGTACAGACTGAAGTTTAAAACGTTGTGCTGTATTAACACCAGTCAACTCAGAGGAACTCCTGCTGTATTACCATCGCTGTGAGTCTCCTGAAAGTCTGAGTGAATCTGCTCCACTGACAGCAGTTGAAATATGAACCATCCACCTCCTCTGTACACTTTCAAAGTAAAAGAGGAGGCAGGACATCAATAAAACGGTGAGAATCTGAGAAATATGTTTGTGCTACTGTAACAACTGTGTTTCTGCCCTGATCACCAACACAATCTGATCTCATCTGTGCCGATAATCAATACTGCAAAAACTGAACCACAGCAGTTGAGTTTATAGAGAACTCTGCATCACCCTCTGCACCCACAGATTTATCCTGAGATCCTAAATGAGTTCCACCTTCCAGGTTGGAAAACAACAGTTTCATATCTACCTGAAGTAGTGGATTTGGATGGAAACGTCCAGATGCATACTGTACATATGTACTGTGGGTAATAAAGTAGTTTAAAGTGGTTTACATGAAGTACCAGGAGTCTGTATTTTTTTCAGTAAACTATATGTAAAGTCTCATTTGTGTGAATCTATATGAACATTAACTGAAACTGAGATGACAACGACAGCTTAAGTCTGTTTTATTAAGTATGTATTTTATTTGCATTTTGTAAATAAAATAGTAAAATTCTCTAGGATCAGCTCCTGTTTTCAGTTTATTATGGATTATGGATGTACCAACAACTGGTTCACTGTGAAACTGAAGAAAAACTAATTTAGTCGATGTGAAAAAAAACAATGATTGTCTGACATTAGCGCCTTTATCTCTACATTAGATATTGCTGCTATTTCACAGATGTTTTTACTGAAATGGTCCTTGACTTGAATGTTAAATACGTTAAAATATGTTTAAATACGTTTTACTTTTGTTCTGCAATAAAGAAGACTGTGTGGTCTAATTTGACTTCTTTTGAATAGTTTTCACGTTCTCACAGTGCTTACTTATATTTATTTTTTGGTGTGAACAAAAATTGAATATCAACATCAGTAATATCAGTTATCAGTGATATCAGAAATCTTGATATCGGATATCTGTATTGGTCAGACATTTCAATATCGTGCATCACCAGTTCAAATCCATTTACAGCCTGCTGCGCCGACTTCTGTGTGTTCACTACAACTCCCAGCAGCCACCGCGCAATCACAAGCTTCCGTAGAGGGGAAGGAGAAGAGCAGCAGCAGGTGAAGGTAAACACAGCTGATTGATTCTGATCGATTATCGATTTTATACTGGGCGGTTTGTGATCGCTGTTGTTCCGGATTACCGTTTACATATCTGAAAGGTGGCGTCACTGTTCCCTCCGTTTGTACGAGTGGAATGAAGAGTTGAACAGGGGCGTTTGTGTTGGCATGCTAGCACGATAACCACCAAAACAACACTCAGTGTAGCTGCACACCAACAGTGCATCATTATCAGGAGGAGACACAACGACACAACGTTTATCGCTACAATAACACACAGTTAAATCCGTGTGTTAGCATTAGAAGCTAGCAGTTAAATCCGGGCTGCAGCCTGTTGAAGCTAACAGCTGCTGTGTCTCTACACTTTGACACTTCCTTCATGCCACTGCTGACTGTGCTTCTAACCTTGTATAACTTTTTGTGTGTAGATGACGAAGAGCAAGGCTGATGAGGAAGACTACTGGAACAGCTCCAAGTTTAAAGCTTTCACCTTTGATGATGAAGACGATGAGTTCAGCAGGGTAAGACCTCATCCCAAACA